AAGAGAAATAAAATAAAAAAAATAATTAAATTATGATATAATTTATATATATAATTTAAATCAATAAATCAAAAAAATATTCATAATTATGTAATTAAAAAGTACAATCTATTCATTTATTTATTATTTATATTATTATTATTAAGCTATTATTTATTTATTATTTATATTTATAAAATTTATATTATACAATTTCTATATATATTATATACAGACTAAGAATGCTATAAAAAAAATATTATTAAAAATATTTATGATCAATAAATTATATATAATATAAATATGAGATTTCATATAAATAATATTATAATATATATTATAACATGTTATTAGTGAATACTAATAAATATTTCACAAACAATAATTGTTAATTTCATTGTTATGTTTATTTTTTCTAAATACAGTTTTAATTTTATAATGTATTACATATACATATTTATAAAATATTATATAAATTACTGTAACTTTAATATTGTTACTGTAATTTTATATAAATTATTGTAACTTTATTATTTAAAAGATCACATGATATTCAAATGTAAAATTATTATAACATTGTATTTTTATTTTTGCATTTCCATATAAATTTTAATATATAAATTTCTGTCATAAATTTTTGTAAAATGATATTATTGTAAAATAATATATAATTTAATTATAATTCAACATTTATAATATTAGTGTTCTAATTTAATATAATATTTCATTTAAGACTATAAATATATTATTACATAACTATCATACAAAAAATAAATTTCTGAAAGATCATAATCACTATCATTATTATAATATAACAAAATTATCAATAAACAATAAGATTATTTTTTAAAATTAAATAACTAAATAAGCATAACCTAAAAGAAGCAAAAGTATTGAATGATTAACATACCGTAAAACTTGTCCGAAAATAAAACATATTTCACATAAATATTAACTACATGATAATTGATATGCACTATATCATTTTTTTAATTATAATTTTATATATTAATTAACATTTTATACATTAATTTTACCTAAAATATACAGCACTTTGATGTATGAATTCTAACGACATCTACAGAATTTTTTTATAATTTAAAATAATTTTTATAATATTTTTATAATTTTTTTTTTACATTCTAGGCAAAAAAAATAATAATTAAATTTAAAAATTTTTAAATTTAATATATATACAAAATGTTAAAATATTTAGTTAGAATTTTATGCATTTTCTATATAACTATATAAATTATTAAAGCTATATCAATTTATTTATATAAATTTTTACAAGTTATTTATGATATATATATATCATAATATCTATATTGATATTTATCTTTCTAAAAATAAAAAATTTATTATTTAATGAGTTTTTAATGAACTAAATTTAATCAACTATTTAATAATTAAATATAATTTAATGAAATTTTAATAAACTAAATAATAATTTTAATAAACTAATTAATATTATTGCAACTTTAATTTGTTTTTTGACCATCAGTAGAATATCTAGCATGATTCATCATAGATTCTACTCTATTAGCAGTTTCTCTTACAACATCAGAAATTTCATCTGGTAAATGATCTAAAGTAGGAATATGTGCAGAAAGTCTTTTATATACAGAATCTCTATTATTATCTTTCTTGTGTCTACGTTGTTCTTCATATTTTAATTGTTGTTTAAGAAATATAGCATTTTTTATAAATTCTAAAGTATTTTCAAAACTTTTTTCAGCACCATACATTGTTTTAATAGCACTTACAGCATATTCTACATCATAACATCTACCTAAGAGTTGCTGTTGAAGAGCAAGTACTTCAACTCTTTTTTCCACCATTGGAGGCAATGCTTTTCTTACATGTTCTTGTAGTCTATAAAATGCAAGAGATGGTTCATTTGCAACTATATGCATATTTTCAGATATACGTTCAGTCGCTAAAAAAATAAATATAGTTCAATATTAGTCAAAATGTAATAATAAAAATATTAATAATAAATATAATATAATTCTAACCTTTCTTAACTTTTATCTCCAATTCTTGATCTGGTTGATATACTTTTGCAGTCATATTTATAATTATTATAAAATGTTAAATTAATATTAAATTTTATTATTAAATCTTAAAATTAAATTTAATCAATTAACAAAAAATTAGTTTTGTTATTTTATGATATACTTTGAATATTCAACACAATTTCTAT